ACCGTCCAAAGTTCATCGTACAGTCACGATTGTCCAGTAGTGTTTCATTTCTCATTTGTTTTCTACAAATCAGAATGATATGAAATTTAGAAATATTTTTCATAAAAAAATAGGTGAATCTACGAAAAATATCAAAAAAATCTTTTACATAAAATAAATTGACCAAATACCTCTGAAAAGTTTCAAGGGTATTTTAGTAATTTTTTACAAATTATTATTTTTTATATTTTTATTAGGTGTACCTCACTAATATGTACACACACTCCAAATTTCAGATAATTCTGATTTGTAAAAAACAAATGAAAATGAAATACTATTGGACAATCGTGATCGTGCGATGAACTTTGGACAGTGATGAAGATAGGCAAAATCACTGTTTATTTTCGCCTATAGGTGTTGGGAAGACTTTTCTTATATATATATATATATATGTGTGTGTGTGTGTGACTATACGATGAACTTTGAACGATGATGAGGGTAGGCAAAATCATTGTTCATTTTGCCTATAAGCGTTGAGAAGACTTTTCTTTCATATATATGGGAAAAGATGTTGTGCACTCAAGTGCGTACTGCTACACTACACGCCTATGGCCCAGATTGAATTTGGGTTGATCTGATGCTCACAGATGTCCTATAGTATTTGAATTTGAATTTGAGTTTTAATTTTTTTACAAATCCAAATCATTTGAAATTTTAGGGGTGTGTTCTTCTTATCAAGATGCATCTAATAAAAATATAAAACAAATAATTTGTGAAAAAATATTGACCAAAATACCCCCGAAATATTTTGAGGGTATTTTGATCAATTTATTTCAAGTAAAATTTTTTTTGATATTTATTGTAGATTCGCCTATTTTTGAAGATATTTATTGTAGATTCGCCTATTTTTGAAGAATACACACTTAAATTTCAAGTGATTTAGATTTTTATAAAATTATTAAAATTTAAACACTATCGGATATCCCTGAGCCTCAGATCGGCCATAGAATGGTCCAGATTCAATCAAGGCCATTCACATATAGGCGTACAATAGTGACTCTCTCTCTCTCTCTATATATATATATATATATATATATATTCGAGACTTTAAACAATCAAATTAGAGCCTACTTAAAAAATTTTACTACAAGAGATTGCTTTGATGCTCAAATATCTTCAAATTGATCATCTCAACATCATGATGCATGGACATGAGAAAAAAATGGATTT